TTTTGCCTCCTCCGTGCATTTGTTCAGTGTGGATGGGCTACATTGTGTAATGGGAAGTCATTAGCTTTTGGTCTGATGCAGTTTGTATTTCAGTCCCTCGCTGCTACATTTATATTTTATATATTTTGTTTCACACTGTATTAACAGCTGTGGCTTGTTTCTGCCATCTGCAGACAATTACTTTAGTTTACTTGGCTTTGTAATAATAACATGTTTTCTTCTTGCAACTCTCTCAATACACAACATACTGCAAATTCTTGACAGGTGCTCAAGCATTTGCTCGGGAGACACGGTGAGGAGGATTATTACTGCATTATTTAGATCCCCTAAAATAAACAAACACATCCCCTTCCCAGCATCATGTGTGAGTACCAAATCAGCATTGGGTTTTTCATCGCTCCAATTATGATTTACGTCAACTACCAAGCACCTCAGTGCCCCTTTTTCGCTCCCAACAAGACCCACTTAGTGTCGAATATTTCTCCCTCCATACCCTCTCATTTGCTCAGCATCTCCTCCTTTTATGACCTTTTTACATTCACCTTGCCTTGTTTCACCTTCTTGCTATCACCAGAGTGGCTCAGGTTCCGCTCCACAGTCTAGTTTCAGTATAATAACTTGACACTTCACATTGCATTAGTCTTAGTCCCGACAACAAGGTTATGTGACCTATAGTGTCAGAGAGCATACACCATACTTGCCTGGAGTGGCTATTTATCAAGACAGCTTTGGGCCACCTATGATTCACAGCAGAACAAATACAGATGTGAGACGGTTTTACTGAGGACATATTTGTTCAGTAACCAGAGTTTTGGCAAGCTAACCCCATCCCACAGTTGCCTCTCACACACCTTGAATGGACATTTAATACTATACAAATTGCAGTGATGTACAGTATATCGTTACATAGATACAATTATTTTTATAATCCAATGTTGAATACAGAAAATGTTATATTTTATTTCTTCACATATGTATACCTTATTTTGCTATTGATTCAAATCAATGAGTTGAAGCGTAGAGGGAAATGCACCGGGTGGACACTGTAAGGAGAGAAGGAAGCAGGCTCTGAACCCCAAGGAAGTCATTAGGAGACTAGTGACCTCACTGGTGCAGTGAAGCTGCCACAGGCATGATGTCATATTTTACATGCCGTCAGACATTCTACCACGCTTTGTGATCGAATCTGACGGGAATATAGGTATTGACCATTTGAGATGATGAAGAGGATACATATTTAAGTGAGCTGGCGATTTATGTGGACGTTTTGTGTTTATTAAAACAGACACCAACCATGTTGCTTATTTCTCCCATTAAACATGGCAGCAGAATATTTAAGGTGAACACATTTAAGGTGAGAATATATGTTTTGTGTGGTAATTACCAGGGTTATTCATGATTGAATTACCTTATGGTAATATTTGTGTTTAAACTAACACAAAAAAGAAAAAAGGAGAAAGTAAATTCTATTCAACCATCTAGAGCTGAACCCCTGTTCCTGATGTTACACACAACCTCCTGTTTTTCAGAGCAATGCTCCTTGGACATTACAAGACACTAAATTCGGATTATACATCTTTTCTCAGCTAGTCGTAAACACTATCTGTATATACCATTTTTTTACCAATTGTATTTTAGCGGTTGTTTTCTTTTCAGTCTGCATTTCTTGGTGCATTAGCGCTTAAAGTACGTCATCAGACAAGGGTCATCAAGCAAGCTCAGATTGAATATATATTATTAGCCACAGACATCGACTGTACAGCACAACGCGCAGCAGCAGCACTTTGACTAACTGACATTATCGTGATGATTAAAGCAGAGAAAAAATAACTGCAGGCTTACTGGTAAGCCAGGTAGAGGCATTCGAACAACACTCGGTACATTTGCATTCATCAAAACCCCCCCTGAGACTTTTCACAAGTGTCTGCATTAAGCTTCGATGTGCTTCAAGAATCACCTCAGAAAGCAATGAAACCAGTGTGGCTACTTTGTTGATACAATCTGCACCCCGTGCTGCATAATTTATTTTATTGCACAAGAAGTAAACCTCTATCACTCTTCCACACAAATGCAGCCTTAGTAAATGTGTTTATCTTGTTTATTTCCCCCTCTCTCTCTCTCTCTCTCTGGGTCTCTGGGGTCCGAGCCGCCCCTGTCTGCTTCCTGGTGGTGTCTGGGAACCCACGTCTACGAGGCTCCAGGATCATTTTCCCTCTGTAGCGGTTGTCACGAGCGTGGACCCAACTAATTCATCTTGCTAATGGCAGGTGGGTCAGTTGAGCGCTATAATTGTGATTTCTGTTTTTGCTTTCACTCTTTTTTTTTTTTGTGGCTGTAGTTCCTTGATCTAATAAAAATAGCGGAACCTGCTTTACGAGAAGATAAGTTCTATCTGCTGTCTTCTTGTTCTACCGTATCATTACGAAGATATGCAAATTCACTTGTGTTAATGGTTAAACGTAAATACATTTTAAATATTCAGAGATTAGTATTTTTTCAAATATCATAGCGTCATACTGGTTCTGTGATTAAAGACTAAACCACTTTTCTTTAAGTAAATAGTACTGTGTTTTAGGAAATATAAGTCGTTGAGTTGCAGATAGATTACATCCCTGCTGCACAGAACCAACTCCTGATCATGAAATAAATAATATAAGAACTTTGTTCTCAGAATGGTCTGGATATAATGAACTCTACACTATTTAAAGAGTGAACAGATTTTTTTTTTTTACCAGAATGAAGTCAGCAGCCAGTTGGAATCACTGGGGCATGAATCTCCAGAGAATAGTGGACATGAAATGAGCCCGGGCGGATTTCAGTCAGGAGGAAGGTCGTCACCACACAAATGAAAAACATGAGAAGTGGTTGAAGGTCTAATCAAGTCCTCAGACTGCACTCACTGGGAGCAATTAAGTTCCTCCCTCTCCCTCAGCATAGGTAACCAGATCCTTCTATTGACATTCTCAATAAAAGGTAATTTACTGTATGGATAAAATGATCAGCCTCTATAAGCCGGAGAACCTTATAGAATACAATTAACTTAAAAATTGTGGTCGGCGCTGTGACCTACGACTGCACGATGTTTACAAAATTGACAGGGACATAAAATCGAAAAAATGATCCACATAAAAGAACGAGAGGAATACATTTAATACAATAAATGCTTGCACTGTGTCTTTGGAATCTACATGTTTCATCACTGCATAAATTTCAAGATCTTGGCACCAAGTCCAACCCAACCGCAGGAATTTATTACCATCATTGCTAGCTAGCATGACACAAATTAGGTCCTGGTACTTTCTGTCTTGCCTCTCAGACCACAATGCTTCACCATAAGTCGTCTCTAATTTGTAAGGTTGTCGCAGGCACTTGTTGTCAAGTCTGTGAGTTTGCAGCTCCCTTTGTCAAAGCATGGCAGGACTGTGCAGACCTGCAGGGAGGGAGGGTAAGATTTCACACTGATTCCAAGAGACTGCTCAAAAAATACTTTTTGCCTCTGAGCCAAAATGTAAAATGTAGTCCCCGTGAATGTTTGTTGTACTGTCTCCCTTTATTTTCATTTTACAGGAAGCATGACGCAATAGCAAATACTGTACGTGATGCCATTATAGCAGAATTGTACACTGTGCAAAGTGTAAGATGATGCCATTTTGGCTTTTGAATCGGTATGAATCGGTCTGTTTCTTCAGTGAGCAAACACGAACTAAAATTGTATTCAACTTTGATTGTTACCAAGTAAAATTGAAATAGGGATGAAGATTAGAAAGGTGATTTGCAAAGATTTACACGCAGAGGATATGCAGATGTTTGTGATGTATGTGTCACTCGTGAGTCAGACTGTTTTCATTTGCCAGGTTCATAAGAAGCCTGTGAATTATCTTGTGTTTAAATCATCCTAACCTTTAACACAGTGAAATACGCAAAGAGTAACACATGTTGTGGCCTTTCTTGTGGGCAGCTCTTGGAAGTTAATAGCCACATGTCCCCAGTTGGTTAGTAAAATCACAGCCTCTGCATTCTGACCAAAGAAACAAAAGGGTCACGGCATGCTGTGTGTGCTTTGCAGTGCAGGACAGTTATAAAGGTCTCTAGGGGATGGGTGGTCAGCAATACTTTCACTTGAAATTCTTTTAATGCTCCGCTTCTATCTCTGTTAATTATTTACACAGCAATACACAGATTCCCATCAGCTCAAAAAAACAATGAAGTAATAATAGTATTCTCCTTTTTGTTATGTGATCTTCTATCTTCTCATGCAAATAAGGGCATGGAAACTGCTTTATAGGGTTTACAGCAGCTGCAGTTTGTTAATTATGTTGTGTAACTGCAGTGTAACTTTCAAAAACAGGAAAAGTATATTACTGAGAGCTATTCGGTATCCTTCTAGCAATATATATTGGCAATCTGTACCTAAATTATCATGCCAGTAACCTAATTTTAACCCTGTAGGGGACAATCAATCAAGTATCAAGAGTTTCATCAAACTCTATAGTTTCAGATTTTAACAACCTCACAATTTAGGCAATTTAATACAGAGGCAATTTTAAAAACATGATTAGTATTTATAGAGCAAAACATATTTTGGCAATCTGACTTGCAATGTCGAAAAATGATTTCCAAAACAATAAAAAACTGCTTCCATGTATCTGCCTTCATTTGTTCAATTATTGAAGTAGTATAGTTTAACTAACCAACATGAGATCTTTATTTTGCCAACAAGATCCAGCAGAATGCAGTCGCAGGAAATGAAAGCAAAAAGACAGGAACATTGCATCTAATCTTAGCTTCCAAATGGCAAGAGTGTGAAAAAAAAAGTGTCATTAAATTAAACTATTGTTAGTTATTAACTCTTAACATGCTACATATGTGCGTGAGTTTTGGTGTGTATGTTTTTTCCTCCTTAAAATTACGATCCAATAGTTTATCATTATACTTAAGGATATAATTCCCGGGCACTAGGACCTTGGGGAGGCAGCTGCGCTGGTTTTCTCACTCCGCCAAGTAACGTCTCTCGTCTCTGACAGCCGGGAAGAATAACGTAACGTTAGCCAACAAGGAGTTTAGCTCAACGTAAATGATGCACGGACTCAAATTGTACAGGTAGTTACGCAATATGTCTCTGTAAGTTGTTAACGATTGTTACTTGCCTACATTTAGGTTTACTTGAGTAAAATGAAAGGGAGTATTATAGTGGGCTATGTTAACACTAAGCTAGCTAGCTAACATTAGCTATTTTGTTAAAAACTAGAGAGCAAAAGTTTGAACGAGCGAATTCGAAATACAAGAAATAACTATCCACATCTCTCTATTCTTTGTATTGATATCTCTCTAGTGTTTCTAAACAATAATTTAATTCTCTATATAATGTTGTTAATAATCAGATAACGCTAGTAAAAGCGTCATAGTGTCCCTCATTATGCTATTGCACTGGTTATACATCATCCAATTCTTTGACCAGAAGGATATAAAAATATTCTTTAGAAGCAGGAGACTGACGAGGCCAAAGAAGCCGGTATGATGGAGGTCACTGGTCTACAGTAAACACACCTTTTCCTACTATAGTGTGTATAACGTTAGGCATTTGTTGTTAGGCCTCGCCTGCTCCAAGGCAGAGCCTAAACTGGATTATTTCAGCCAGTTCATATTTGTGTTTCGCCATGACCCTGAAATGTTGTCTCTTGTGTTATCATATACCGAATGGAAGAAAAACTACACAGCCAAATTGTCTGAAACAATGGATATCCGCACAATCAGAAGCCTCTATCAGTCAGGGAAATGTATTAGCAAAATGTCCTCTGAAGTAGAAGCACACAGTACGTAGTATATATGTATAGCATTGTAAATCCTCAACTTTCTCTGCCGTGGCAGGTGTAAAGCCGGGGGCCAAAGGAAGTCTGTTGGTACAAGCGAACAGCAACCGCACTCCTCAAGTAAGATTTTTTTCATTGTTATCTATCACTAGGAAAACACAAGCAGCAGCAGCACAGCAGGCAGTGTTGGGTTGCAGAGAATATGGTTTACTTTGGGTCTGTTAGTGAATTTGGGCCAACTTCACCATGCAACACGCCATGGTCTGGCTCTGCTTTCTGTGGTAGCAGTGTAACAAAGAAGCAAATGCCAAGATGCCTGTTTACTAGATAGCGCTCTTGAGTTCCTCACATTCCAGGCATTTCAGTTTAATGGTCATTTAATGGTCATTTAAATGCATTACGATTTTGTGTGTGTGTGTGTGTGTGGGGGGGAGTAGGTTGGTAATAGTCATAAGGGGCCACAATCTTTTCTAACATACCGTGTTAGTGATAGCAATACAAAAATTTGTATAAGTATATGCTTTTCACTAAGCAACTACTTTCCCCAGTGTCCAGCGTTTATGTTAAACTGACTGTATCGATATTGTATTGTGGTATTCAGTAGAGGAAACAATGCAAGAAACAAAAGACACTATTACTAACGCAATCATGTTTGGGACTATCAGCCATGAATCATGTGGTGACGGGCGGTTTTTATCTGAGAACAGGACAGGGACTGAAGGGTTATCAACAGTTCCAGACATCCACTGATTCCCCTAGAAGTCAGATACCTTATAAATACTTAAAAACAACAACAACAACAACTAGCAAGACATGTTGGCAAAATCATGTTATAATTATTTATGCAGTAGTGCATTTAAAGTAATAACTGAGGTTCCCACAAAACAAGCCAGGCTGCGCAGCTTTTAATTTTTTTTTTTTTATTAGCCAAGTCAACTGGTTTGTTCTGAATGGCTTCAATGCAAAAAGCACATTTCAGCAAAAGGTGTCACAGCCATACACATTGTGATGTAGTCATTGTGCTTACTTGCAAAGTGCCAGTCTTATTCACATCTGAGTGGGCATATGCCACACAAAGGGCACAGAATGGATTGTAGTCATTGTGTAAAAGTAAAGCCGGTGCACTGATGCATTGACGTGACATCACAGCAGACCTCAACATCAACACGTAGCGTGGCTATCTTTGGAAAGTGATGATGATCTTGGCTGCGCTTCTCATCAACAGTGAGAAAGATTGCAATGTACAGCTGTCTGCGCGTCACATCCATTTGACATGTTGACACAGTGGGTCCTTAAAAGTGCATGAGTCAGGAAGTAGAAACTAATAGCGCAATGTCTAAGTTGAGAAGATTAGCCGAGCAACAACATCAGCTGTGGCTGCTCTGGTGTTAAGAAGGCGTTTTTTGAAAAATGTGTGTGGCACTCGTACGTGAGGCGAGAAAAAATGAATGCGACGGAAAAGACTCTGCAGGAGTGGAAAATAAGTGAAATGTAAGTCATAGGTAGCAATATTTTGATAAAGTAATCATGCTTCAGGAGCAAAGCTCTGACTCCGATATCAGCCTTTGGTGATTCCACGAAGCTCCACTGAACATGGCAGCTTCAGATTTACAAATTGAAAATCATTAATAATTCTAACCAGGATGTGATAAATCTAGAATCACTCCCGATGAACCTGGACACACTTTCATAAATCAAAAAGATTACTTGGAAATTTTTTAAAATCTGATGTCAAAGTGTCAGGCTTACTAATGGTTTTTGTAGATCCCTCGCCGTGATATATCATTAATCCGAGATGCATTTGAAGTGTGTCACCGGGGCAATATGTGATCCCTCTAATATTAGGAATATGCTGGTCTGTGTCAATACAGGAGATAGGAAAGATAAAAGCGGGTGGAGGTGCTGGAGAGAAAGTTGCCAATGAATATTTTTTATCAAATGCCTGAACTGAAACCACGCCTGTGAACGTAACAACAGTTCTGGTGGTGATGCATCTCGGGGAAGGTGACAATGATGAGGATCATACATTGCAGTCAAAGCAGAAAACCTTACTGTAGAAATGACAAAGCACACTTGGGCTTTAAATCGGCTCCGTGTTTGCCTCCTAAATCCTGAGAATATCCCCCCCAGTAAACTCTGTATCCTCAAAAATCCACATCACTGCTGAAACACCTTCTTTATTCGGAGTGCAGCGATGCCGAGACTTAGAAGTGCTATTGTGATGAAGGAGGTATTGACCGTGATGGTGAACAGGGCACCTCTGTAATCTAAATGTCATTCACAGAAAAGCATCTCCCACACAGCCAATGGCTTTCATCCGAATGTGCCTTCCAAAAGATTCAATTACTTTTTCTCTCCTTCCATTCCTTTCACCCTCTGATCTCCACCCTCCTTTCCATGCACTAGTTGCTTATCTGCCGTGATTATAGTCATTATGAAGCAGCCGTGTCTGTGGTGAGATTTCATCAGGAGCAGCTGCCTCTGTTTAGTAAGAAGAGCTGTACAATGAAGATGAAATGCTGGATATTTAGAACACACTCACCAGAGATTTCTGCACGTAAGGCGGTAACGTGTGAGGCGTGCCGCTAATAAGTATTTTTACTCTGCAACATATTCCGTAAACATCATTCACATTTAGCGCGGAGCGGCTCGGTGTGTACAACTCCGTAAAGGTTATGCACTGTAACGGCATTTCACCAGTGCGCTGAGGCGAGGGGAGAAGTATGGCAGCCCGAGGACAGGGGGGCTGTATCAGACAACACATCTGCTCTTTTCATGTTCAAAATCTTTCCCGCACGTCTCCCGTCTAGGTTTCAGCGGAGGGGGTGGAGTTTAAACGCAATGGAACAAAACTCGTTTTTTTGACAATGACATCAAAGGAGATGGCTGCTTTTGTGTTTGAAGTGGAGCATGTTTGAAGTGTTCTGAAGACAGTAGAGTGGTAGGGCAAGTTCATTGTTGCTCCGCTCTGGAGATGATTATCAGCTGCTATCGGTGTGAATCTCTGAAGCAACTGTCAGCGTGACATGTGAATAATGATCTCCCCTTTTCACGTGCCGACGCCGAACCCACTCTGACACCTAAACTCCTGCAGTACTACCACAGTTCTGACATTCCTTCCATCCTTCGGTCTTTGGCTGAAGTTTTAAACAATGGTTGGAAATTATGGAAATGTTGAAAACATTGCAGTCCTCTCTTTGTTGATTAGTCAACTAATGTGTTTCTTTTGGTCATAGTCAAAGAAGATCTCTCATGATATTTCAACTTATTTCCAAGAAACACACAATGAATTGATTGATCAACAAATTTATATCAGGTGATTTGTTTAGTCGAGATCCACCCCAAATTTGAACGATGCACTACTGGTTTCATGACTCACAGTAAATCGCTATGTACTGGTCACAGATATGTTATATTTTATATTTGTAAGTTAATAAGTTAAATTTGTATAAATAAACACTATTCAATATTTATGATGTGTTTATTTGATACTAAATGGCATTCCAAAAACTATTTATTTAATTATAATTTTTCATAAAGAAATACTATTATTATTATTTTAAAAAATGGATGAAGTTGTGGATTCAATGAACATCCTCCACGTTAAACATACTTACTTTCATGGTTGCTACCAATGCAAAATTCAAACTCTTCTCGGGATATGCCATTTTTCCTCTCTGATCAGGGCGAGAGTCAGAGAGCAATGGCTGACAGTGCCCTTAAATATAAAGCAGTCTTTAATATAAGCTACCATCATATAACCGTGTGCCCTTAATGGTTACATTAGCCTAGTAAAATAGACAAGTTAACAGTTCCCAATAAGCGTAGTGGGCTGTAGATTTAGTTGGGCCTCTAAAATCCTTCTCTGCTAACTATTATTGTACATGGGTTGGCAGTGTATAGTCCAGCCTGTAAAATCTTTCAGGAAGGGTCATTAAGGATATTTCATTATCTCCATATTGCCAAGGTCAGGTTGTCCATATATCCACTTTACGGCTGCTAGGGGAATATGCTGCGACTGTAGTATAATAGACCAGAAAATGTCCACACTAGGAATGATGGGAAATCAATATTGGGCCCAGCTCATCAATACAAACCCCATTTTCACAAGCAGGAAGAAGGAACTTGGGGAGAAAACATTGAGGAAAATAGATTGAATCACAACGACAAAATGAAATAAAACACTGTTTTATTGTTAATAAAATGTTTGTTTTTTGGTTTACAATTTGCTGGGAGACTCGTCACAGAAGAGGTTTAAACTGGTTTGGCTTGATTTTGTTTTAATCTGCCAGCAGTGGATCAGGCAGTCCATAAATGTCCCAGCACAGTGGTGTAACCACGTTAAAGCAGAAAGAAACATGGGTCGTGACAATGATTTGCTCCATTTGTTACAGCAGTGGCGGGGGCCTCAATCTGCCTTTGGTTTGTTAGAAGATTGTTGATGCCTCCGGTTGATTGCAGAGCAATGGCGATGAGAAAAGTAGGATGCTTACAAACAAAGAAAAGCTGACATCATTCCAACTAAGAGAGGATACAGTTTGCCGCCCAAACTCTCTGATTATCACCAAAGCAATGACACTCGTACTCCGATGTTCTTCACATTCTGTGTTAATCAATCAAAGTCGGAGCTCAGGGGAAAGGTGTAGATATTCTAATGTGAAATGTTCCGTCGGTGTAGAATAAACATAGCAGAGCATGTTGTGGTCCAACAAGGAATTCAAAATGTTCTGTGGTGAAGAATAGAGAAAACAGCCTGTGGTTGTTTAACCAGCCAGTGGTAGCCTTGGGCGGTGTTTGTTTATGCAGCACAGCTTCCAACAAATGAATTTAACTCTGGCAAACTGAAAAAGACCAAGTGTACAAAAGCATCTCCCTCATCATCAAAACAATACCTAAATACTCCAAGTGATAGTTCTCCTTCAGAATAGTGTACATCCTTATTTTTGCACTGGATTGTTGTATGGCACAAACACTGACTCACTACAGTTACTGTCTTTGTGTGAAGATCACACATTGTCTGCTGCATGTTAATGGCTTATTGACCATGTATGGTGTAATGAGACCGTGGGTGCAGGGGCAGTCATGATATATGAGGGCGAAAATTGGCCTCTGCTGCCACT